CTTGAACCAAGAACCAAAAGTTGAAAGTGTAGAACATCACGAAGATTGAAAATCCTAGATAAGTTTGGAATAGTTCAATTAAGAATAAGATTTTTCCTTGAGGCAATAAGTTGAAAATTTTGTTTACAAGTCTAAAGTTTAATATTAACATCTTTAGTAACTTTAATTATATGTATACTTACACCAATAAGAAATTTCAATGTTTGAGCCACATTATTTTCATAAAAATGTATTTTTAAATAGTAAATTGATGGAAAATGTGTTGTTAAAAAATAAGGAAAAATTTTGAATTTACGTATAATATTATTTTATTAAATATTTGTGATTGAATTGATGTCAAACCACTGTTGAATAATATATTTTTTGAAAAGAATGTGGGTCAACCACAGTGTAACATCGTTTAGAAATTAAACATAAGTTACATAACTAGTAAGAACTAAAAACTCTTCAAATGTGATTATACAAATGAAGCATTTTTCTCCCTTTGGATCCTCCACAATCCACGTAAATCTCACTTCCTCAATCATTCTTTAATCTAAAAAGTTTGTCAATATAGAAGATGTGAGCTTTAAATTCAATATGATTAATATTGCTTGATGCACCATTTTGGTCATAAACATATATACATACATACAAAGTGATAGGAAAGAATTTAACATTTAATGTAGATGAATACTAGCAAATTTATGATTTCGAAGAATTCTTTGGCTTCATAGAAACCGATTGTGGCCATACATAAATACTTTTGTTAATAACTTCAAATTCTAACACATCACAAGCATACATATATATACTAACGAAGAATCCCTTCTAAAAAAATAAGTTTTTATTTAATTTCTTTTAAATTTATTTTTTATATATAATGCAAAGTCACTGTTTTATCCATTTTTAAGTGAGGAAAAAATAATGAAAAAAAAAATGAGGTGATCAAGGTGAAACATTATATGAAATTAGGAGATCATGGTAAAATAAAATTAAATTGGGTTGCTATGGTAATATTAAATATAAAGTTGGATAGCCATAGTAAAACAAAATTAAATTGAATGGTTATGGTAATATTAAATATAATGTTGGGTGACCATTGATCGATTTAATCCTTTTGTCCTTTAATTTTTTTTTTTTTGCCACTTCTCTATTTCCCCATTTTCGATCAGTTCCTTACTCTCCAAGGACTCGCGCACATATAGATAACATTTAGCCCTTGTTTGAGCCCCATTTTTTGGTAAAGAATGAATTTTTGAATAAAGAAAAATATTTAATTTTTCTATTATTTTATTATTTTGATATCTAATTACTATTTAATTTTATTATTATTTTTTTAAAAGAATGCGGCTCAAATAAGGCAATAACCTTCCATAAAATAATATTACACGTATATTGAAAAATTTTCTTTCTTTTTCAATCACTCATTCTTCAAAAAAAATACTATTCCACCTATTTTAATTTGAAAAAATGGGGGCCAGGAACGATTTATATAAGAATACGATGAAAAAAAGTTTGAGATATAATTGTGGTAATGTATAAAGATTATGAATTTTTTATACAATTAAAATGTATTCTAGTTATTAAAAGCTATGGTGGAAATATATTTAGGTTTCCATTTCTTGGCTTGTTTTTTCTTCTTTCTCATTCCATCATACCCTAACCCACGAAAAGGAAAAATTCTCTCTTGAAACCAACCCACTGAAAAAATAGTTAAGAAGTTGCTATTATCCACATTAAACAGATATCATATTATGGTGGAAATATATTTAGGATTCTTGTGTTTCATTAAGTGTTTATGTCATTAACAGATCACTAGTTACAAACAACAAATTTGATTCTTTTACAAGTTTTTCAGTGTTTTCCGAGACATTTCTTGGAAATTTCCTTGATTTGCTTCCAGGAAACAATTCTGGGGTGGCTAAAATCTAAAAATTTTAAATAAATTCATTACATTCATGACAAATAGTATTAGAGACTCAATAAAATATAAGTCTAGATTCTCATCCTAAGATATCTCACTAGATATTCGTACTTTTTTCTTGCGAAATACAGAATTGACGCTCACCTTAGAAAATATAAATTGATAGAAGTATGAGAAACGTATGCAAATGATATATATCCAACAATAAAAAAAACTAAAAAAAAAGAAAGTTAAGAATTTTATCCATGTTTGATTCAGCCTATAATATACATATATTTTATTATTTATAAATAAATAAGTTCTTATAAATGTTTTTTTTATTATAAGATTAAATATGAAGTACGTAACTTGTTTTGATAGTAAAAGTAATTTCGTGGTCAAAATAAGTAAATTTCTTTCTTATGAGTATGAATAAGTTATACATGAAAAAATAATAAAAAATTTAAGTACTTTAAGCTTAGCCAAACATTTAGTGTCTCTTAGTATTAAAATAAGTAATCTCTTGTAGCTCTAATCAATACAATTTTATTTATCATAAAAGTTTATATATAATTATAAGTAAATATGCGTTAAAAAAACTAATTTGGTAATAAAATTGTGCATACATCATTAATAGTACCAAAAAAGAATATTTAGATAATTGGACTTCGAGCTGGAGCACAATATGAAGCTGGGCTAAACATAGTTATTTGAGCCAATTTAACTATAAAATTCCTTCCTTCTTACCATGTGAGTTGAGTTGGGGGCAAGATCTGCTAGATCCGCCTCTGAATTGAATATCGTGAATCTTATGTTTCGTGTATTTATGTCATGAACACATTATTGGTTATAAACAACAAATTTGATTCTTTGACAAGTTTTTAAGTATTTCACAAAACATTTCTCGAAAATTTCCTTGATTTGCTTTTGTGAATCCTTGGGAAAATGAAATTTTAAACCGCATTTATGTCTAATATTAATTTCAATACAAACTAAATGGGCATATTATTGTATTTTATTTATTTATTCGGAAATCTCTAATCTTACACATTAAATTATTTTTTCTTTTACTACCAATAAAAAATTTCAATGATATTATCTTTTGATGGTAAAAATGTTTTTCAATAAAACCATTGTAAAATTTTAATTTATATGAACATTTGATGGAGCATAATTATTTACATTAATAATTTTATTAGCCTTTCGTATCTTTTAGCGCATCTCTCATAGACTCATTCTATTTTCTTCCCTTTTTTAATTTGATAAAAATTACGAATTCAATTTTCTTGGGATAATTTGAAGGAGAACAAGACAAGGTCAAAATTGGTCGATGACACACCCTTTAAAAGAAATGGATCGATGACTCTTGAGTTTGATTCTCTATTCTGAAAACCATAAAGATCCATTTGCTTATCACATTTTAAAAAATTTAAAAGTTGAAAGAAAATTGAAAGAGTCATTTAGCCCTATTTGATGGCTATTATTTAGGAAAATAATATTTTGAATATTGAATTTTCGAAAAATGTTTGTTTAAAATTAGGAAAAAAATTTGGATTTACGTATAGAATATTTTATTGTATGAATGTGTGATTTAAAATGAACATGTATGGAAAATAGTTTCGAAAAAAGTCCATCAAATAGGGGCTTAGACTCTTTTGGTTTCTGATCTCACGACTCTTTTTTTCTAAATTTTAATATTACTTTTTTTTCATAGAATAATTTTTTTCCCCACATTTTTCAAACTATCTCCCATCTCCCATATAATATTAATTTCTATTAATTATAGCTTCATTTATTGCATTAAATTTCCAAAATATTTTAAAAAATAAAAAGCAACATATGAGAACTGAAATTACACACATCCCCCCTATCTTTTAACTTCCCATTTCAATAATCAAATATTATTAGATGCACCCCCAACGCACCCCCAACCCAACCCACCACACCCACAACTCTCTCTCTCTCTCTCGTTCAATCTCCAGCCACTATCCACCAATTCCGACAACTATCACGAAAAATCAGCTATCGCCTTCTTCTCTCACAATCGATGGTGGACTGACGCACAAGGTCTATACACATTATCTCACTTGAATCGCGCATTGCCATCGTCGTTGCTAGGTCGTTCATTCTGCTCAAAGTGATGCACCCAACTTCTCCCTTTCGCACCTCATCTCAAAGACCTTCGGTTCGCAGTATTATCGTAGTGTCGAGGTCTCCAATTCATCCACCTTCGATTCATCGAATGGCTATAGATCTGATGATGAGTTGGGGATTCAAGGTGGCGATCGTTGGATGGCTACAGATCAACGATCATCGATGGTTGAGGGCCGATTTTGGGCCCGAGGCAAGGGCCCCTGCCTCAGGCCCAAAAATCTAAGGGCTTCATATTTTTTTTTAAATACCGAATACCTTATTTCCTACCCATAACCTGTCTTTCCTCCGGGGTACTTTTAATTTTGACCCGGTCAAAGGAGCAAAATTTCAATTTGACTTCCAAAATAATGAATATTATGACATTGGCCTCTTGTATGGTAAAAGACAAAGATACCCTTAAATATTTTGTACAATTACAAAACCATATATTGTTGAAAGGACTATACTACCCTTTTACTTAATAATTGAAAACCAAACATTTCCCCACTTATAAAAACTTCAAAACGAGTTTCCAACACAGAAAAAACTCTCATCTTTTCATCTGCTTGAACCTCAAAATCTAGAAGAACTTTGGAACGTTGAAGCTGAAAATTTTTTTCACATCAATTACTTCAAATCGGTAAGTACATTTAATCATGTTTAATTTCGTTTTAAGTAAATTAGTATACGTTAAAAAGAGAAATTTTATGTCGACATAGATTTTTTTTAACAGAACCTATCAAAAAAAATAAAAATTAAACGGATGTATAACTTACGTTTAAATTACGCATGCTTAATTTCGTTTTTAGAACGGTATTCTCCTACGCCAAACTGGTATAACTTAACAAACAGTCGGAAATAGTCTGAAACAGCCGGCTGTTGGATGTTTAACAGCCGGGAAACAGCCGGCTGTTAAATATCCAACAGCCGGCTGTTTAGAAGCCGGCTGTAAAACAGCCGAAAACAGCCGGCTGTTCGGCTGTTAAACAGCCACGGACTCCAGATTTTGCTCCAACTGGCTTTGTGTCAAACATGAATGATCTGGGTCGTACACATATATAGTAGAGTCAGCAAAAACGATCTCCAGCGTAACATAGTATTTATTGATGCACGCTGGAATGTACATATATGTACAACCCTCCCATAATTTTCCCGCGACACTCGGTGACAGTCCTATCACCCACTCGAGCATATATTCTGGCACCGTGTACTCGTTACCCATATGTGCGAGCGACTGATACTCTATGGTAACGGCACCCAGGAACTCGGTGTTTAATATGACTCGACCATGGACATCAAATGATTTTGGATGTCTTTGAGCTCGATCTCGCAGCAAGTCCATGGCCAGGTCGATGTGCTGTAGCAGGAAACACCGAAAAAGTATGAGTTATTCATTTAATAAACACAAGGTCACATATACATAAAAAACACGAAATGAATAGTTCACTTACATCGTCGGCGAGCCAAGCTCCCGCAGTGGTGATATCGTGGAACCACTTGTAAGGGTCCGAGATCGTCCTTGGTCCTATCGTGCGGCTAGCTCTGTAAAAAATAGGGAAATATTAAAAATAAGCGTAGAAGAGTTAGCGTACAGTGCTTTATTAAAATCATACAATACTTACCCGGGGATAATTCTCCTCCACTCTGTCTCGAACGCTTTCCACTTGGCATTGTCCACCTCTCTGAATAAGTTCGGGTACGTCCCATCGATGAACGTCCTCCTCTTGGCCTCAGCCGTGAAGGGGGAAACAACATACTGTGACGGCATTCTCAATTTCTTACCGACTACCTGCTCCGTCTCATCAACAGCATGTCTCTTACCCTCAATCACGCCGGGCGTCCTCTCGACCTCCGGGACCACCTCCTCCGCCCCCTCCGTCGCCACCACCTCCGCCCCTCCCGTCGGGGCCTCCCCCTCCGTCGCCACCTCCTCCGCCCCTCCCGTCGGGGCCACCCCCTCCGTAGTCCCCTCTCCCATCCCCATCGGGGCCACCCCCTCCATAGACAACCACAAGGACTTCAATGCCTCATCACGCCAAAAATGTGGGTGACCTCCCTCTCCATCACCATCTCTGCCACCCTCTCGATCATGGTCTCCGCCATCTCCTCTGTCTCCCCATCGTCTGCCGGCTAAATCTCCCCTAAGCGCCGCTATTGTATCCTGAAGGTCGACAACGGAAGACTGTAGTATTCCAACATCATGGGATAGATCGTCAACCCTCCCTGTCAACTCTCGTCACATATCGTCGACCCTCCCTGTCATATAGTCAACCTTCCCCGCCAGATCGTCGACCCTCCCTGTCAACTCTCGTCCCAAATCATCGACCCTCTCCGTCAAATCTCGTCGTAGCGCGCCGACCTCCTCTGCTATAAATCCAATCAAACGAGCATACAAATCATCACTGTGCCCGGGAGACACACGGGGGAGGTGTCTGGACGGAGGTGATGCCAATGGCGGGGACGATACTCTCGGCGGAGATGATGCCAATGGTGGCGGCGATGGCCCCGACGGAGGTGATCGTCGATCAGCTGGACCGCCCTCCTACATAAATAAAATGAAAAATTATTCAATAAATTTATACGTCGATCATATTCAATAAATTATATTTCATTCACATACCCAATCTCGGTCCAAGCTCGGATCAGGCATCTCCTCGTCTGGGGTGTGCGGAACGCCTAAATCCCGCACAAGACCCCGAGCCTCCTCTTCCATCGATGGCGTCAACTCAGGTATGACTTCAAGCTGACATATTGACATTTCAACTATTTAACGATCATGTAAACAAAATTTTAAACTACATATAATATAAATCACAAATACATAATACTTACCTGAGGATCGTCGAGGAGGGCCGATAACTGCTTCCCGGTGGGACATCCCTCCGCTCGCGATGATCTCCAATGATGCATCCGAGGGCAGCGTGTCTCCCCTCGCTGTGCAAAGCGGGCCCCCAGTACAGGAACTGTCTCATACACCCAAATCTGTAACGCATACACTTATTAAGCATCAATGTAATACACTAAAACTTTAACTTTGATTATATTAAACATTTACCTGCACTGCTAACGGCAATCCGTATGTATCGTATTTACCCATCGACCCCCTGGGCCTCGAGT